AAATGAACGTGGGTTTTTGGAAGAACACCCACCCCAAGGTATGCCCGTGCTATACATAGCCTCTGATGAGCTCAGCACAGGATGAGGAGCAGGCAGCAGAAGGCAGAGCAAGGCAGCAAGACCTTTCTCCTAAAACCACGAGCAGGGAGAGCCCTGCATCCCGCTGATCCTGGACAATTACCAGCAAAGTGGGAAAACAGGGTTATCAAGTTCACTCCTTTTGTAAACTTCTACCCTCACTCACATCCACATGGGTTTCTCTTTTCTTTCTACTCTACTTGCATTCAACCTTCAAGTTTTTATGTCTTCTTCACTAAAGCATGGACCTGAATCCCACCACCATCTGGGAAAAAAAAAAAAAAAATATTTGGTTCCTAAGTATTCACTTACCTGACTTACGTATATGGTGAAGGGAAAGAAGACATGGCTTTGTCTGCAATGTTGCTCACGCACAGCACTCTTGATTAGACATGGCTTTGTCTGCAATGTTGCTCACACACAGCACTCTTGCTTTTTTCATTCATGACCATACAGTAAAGCATATGGCTTGAGCAGGAGGAGACAATAGTTAGCAAAACCACAGCCAGCGCCAAAGGGAAGGAAGCTAATACAGTACAAAGGATGGGAATGTCAGCCTTACATTTGGGGTGTTACACTGTTTTCCTCCTATGCCAACCAGGAGCTAAATTTTGCAAGAGCATTTTGGAGCATTAGCCTGAAAACCCTTCTCTGCTTACTTTTAAGCTCCGCTTGTGAAAATCTTCCCCAATATTTTCAGCGAGGGAGGTATTTTTGCAGCAGTGACATTGGGGGGGAAAGCAAACACAAACTGGGCATGAGTCAGTTCAAAGGGGCAGTTTGTAACTGCAGAGCACGCAATAGCTGCAAAACTGGAATTCTGCAGGAACCATTGGCAGCTCCATAACCGTGTTAGCACGTCAGTCCTTGGTTTGGGTTTTACAAGTAGGTACCGTTCAACCATAACTGTATCCAGCCAGCCTTGGAGCAGTACAAACATCTCTGCATTTTATGTTGATCTTTTTGTGTATGTAATGGAAAACATACAATTTCATGGCCTTCATGTCAATCAGAACTCCCTCACACGGCTCTGTCCACATTTTTGGTCAAAAGCCATATGGTGCTCCTTGCCTGGGGGCTGAGCTGTAGAGCTCTTGTCGTGTTGCTCCTTTAACCAAGCTGGTGTTGAATTACCATGAAACGACTTGGTTTGATTTGTGGTGCTGTCGGCAAGTGCGAGCTTGGAGAAAATTTCAAGGGGAATTTAAAACAAAAAAAAAACCTTCATATTTTTCCAGTAAAAAAAAAATAAAAGTACATTTAACAACAGCCTGGTCAGGTGAGGAGGAGCTCCTCTCAGTTGTGTTTTGCAGCGCTACTTCATTAAATGCTTTTTCTAACCCATTAATCTACTTAAACCCTTATATTGCAGGGGCTTAAAGACAGACACTGATTTTCCCTTACTCTCAGGATGTTACAGGAAAGGATACATCTTATTTTTCATGGGGTAAAGGCTGAGTATTAACGCCTGGGTACTGGGCAGTTTTATTTATTTGTGGAACAGACTCTGCACATCCCAATTTCTCTTAGGGTCTCCAGGGGATCCTCTAGTCCCCAGGAGTAACCCCAAATAGCTCTTCTAAATTCAACCCCAGCTCTGGCTGAGCATTAAAGACAAGGGAAGCATTCATTCTGGGAAAGATTTATTTCACAAATAATTCAGAAGTCAAAAGAAAATGAAAGGGATGGGGGAAGATATTTTACAATTCTGTGTTTAGAAAAAAAATAACAGTTTATAAACAAACACACGGCCCCTTGAAAAACATGCATAGGTACACAAAAATTTACAAGAAACTTTTATACATAGGAAGTAAAATACATCATTTTTCATAGAAAAAAAAAGCAACTCTATGAACTGGCCCTAAATATTTAGACTGCACAACCGACCAACTAGAGACTCCTCAAGCAGCCGTTGGCTGAACACCTTAAAATGAAGAAATGAGAGGAGCCAACGGACCCAACAGCACACAGGCAGCTGGGGACGCGCTGCACTTCGGCTTTCGTGCTGGTTGTGTTTGCTGGAGATTTGGCTATGCTGAGCCCGATGCTCTGCAATGGCAGTGTCTGTACTGGCAGCCTTGGTTTCAGAAATAAATGTATTGGAAAAAAACCAACCAGGGAGCACCAGCTTTGCCAGGGGTTTAACCAGACAGTCCAGTAAGGCTACACCCGGGTGCTTCAAGTTGGCATGTGCTTAATAATCTGCTGAGCTGGGCTCTAAAGAGGAACAGATCTGGTGATACAAAGATGTGCTGCATCTTTAAGCGGCATTGAAATCTATCCAGCTGAGAAATGTTTTGGTATCAGAAATAAAATCAGTAAATATTTGGCTAAAAAACTGGTACTGTCCCACCTATAGATGAATAGCTAGCACACACGATTGTGATTGATATCTCATGACTGCTTTGGAGGACCCGATCGCCCCTAATTCTGGTGGAGGTATGTTTAAATTAATAGCACCCAGGACCTCGAATAATATTTGTGTAGTAAAGTCACAATTTCTCTTTTGTACAACAAATATAAAAATAAACAGATACAGACTTAAATTAACATCGGTCGCTAAAAATCCAAACCAGTTGGCTGAAGATAAAAATAGACAATTGTCACTTGAATTAAACATTTTAGGCTATTTCTGTTAGAATAATAATTCTTCCCTAGCCTCCTTGTCATCAGGTAGATACATAAACTGTTTGGATTTTTATGTGCTCACAATAATCCCCTGGGCTTGTGTCCAAGAGCCCTTACATCTCTTTCCATCTTTTTAGACCATATGTAGTTGTCACAGACAGCACAGTAGAGGTGGGATCCTATGTTAACATCAAGGCGTTTTATGTGCTCTTGCAGTCCCCGTACCTGATCGCATCTCTTACACTTTCCAATTCAATAAATAACACTGTGGCTACCATGGTCCTAGATTCATGCTGCAGTATTTAATGGGCTTGAACCAGACCGTGTATAGCGTAAGTATCCACAGCGGGCAGAAACAGGGAAGCCTTCTCTCGCTGCCAAGATCTCAAACACTTCCAACCAGCAGCTTTTCTAAGATATCTTCCAGCTGTTTACAACATCAATTTACCTAGTAAGAAAAAAAATATTTCCATTTTCCTATCTAAAGCAAATACTGTACACCTTGGAAGATGATTCTACATAAATGAAGATGCCACAGAGTCATTTCTCGTTACAAAAGGTCTCTTTCCAAATTCAGACTTCACAGAGAAAGAAACCCCTTCGGTGAGACCAATTGAGTCATGAAAGTAATTTCCTGGCTGATTCCATGGTGTTTACAGAATTAAAGAAGTGCTTAATCATATAAACATTTTTGGGCTGTGTTTTGAAACAGCTTGAAGAGATGGCTTTCCTATCCGTCCAGATTAAACCAAACAGCCTGAGCGTAAGAGCAGCTATGACACGTCTGCCAAATAGAGGGAAGTATTTTCCCATTTGTTATATGACCTTACAATCACTTTATTGAGCATTTACAAGAACTGAAGAACTAAAGTTTGCGTTGCTGTCTCATGAGTAATGAAGTTACTGGATGTGTGTGCATCAAAAGACAACCAGATTTGCATTTAGACCAATTCTAAAAATTAATTTCCGTTATGAAGCAGAGAATACTCTCCTGCCTTACAGAGCAGGTCATGCTAGGCTCTTCTCTTGGCTTTGAAATGCATTTGGATGCTTGTTGAGACATAAAATATCAAACAACAGCATTACAGCACCTATGGGTTTTGCAAAACAAACCATCCTGGATGACAAATGCTCGTGGGTATGGCATTTACACTGCAATTTGGGATGTGTTGGTGCCACAAATTGAACAGGAAAAATTCATCTACCCCAATTTACACCACGTCTTTTAAAGTCTCAGGACTGCACACACCTCAAAGAGCTTCACAAAGGTGAACGTACTTCCTACGGATGCAACCATTCCTAGCAGAAATAAGGTTAACTTTATCACTACTTAACTACTACAGATAAAACAACCAGCACTGCTGTATAAAACAATACACTGCATTTAACTGAAATCTTATTTGAAATGGCGTGTAGGATAGGATGAGATGTGCCAGCACAGGAGCCCCGATTCACTGACTTCTCCTAGGTTGCCAGACTTGCAAAATACCAGCCAGTGTTTGACCAGCAAACACTCAACCAGCTGTTTGATTATCTGGTGGCCTCATTTTCTGCAGCGGGGATCTCTGCCACCATTTCACACTTTACTTCAGTCCCCAAAAACCTTGATGTCCGGCCAACAAAAGCGTCCTCTCCCCAAAAGTGACCCCATCGTACGACGTCACCTAGCACGATACCCCAGCAGCCTCACCCAGCAGTGCTGGTGCAATGCCATCTCATTAGGAAAATACCAAATTTTCTCCTCTTTTGCACAGAGAATACCAAACATACACAAAAGCACTCTACCAAAGCCCAGCCTCTCCTCAAAAGACACAACTTTTCAAACAGTTTCTCATTTCAAAGCGCCCAGCGCCTGGACAGTCGCTCCTTTCTGAGGCCGCTCAGCAGTGCACGTCCTCACGCCCATCGCAGGAGATGCTTCGCGCCCTAAAAATGCCACCCAGGGCCAGGCTGAGATCCCTGTGCCTGCTGCACATTGAGCCACCGCCGTTCTGTGTAGCACACCTCTCTCGTAAATTGGAAGTTACAACAGTTTATCATTGCTGAATGCCCCTAGAGAAATAAAAACACGAAACGAAAAGATACAACGCTGCACGGGTGCGATGAGATGCGAACAGCTGAGTCAGAACCTGGTGTCTTTTTTTTCGTTTTTTTTTTTTCTTTTCTTTTTTTTAATTCCCTGAAAGAGATCGGCAAGGAGGGTACGGTCAGAGCTGATGCTGTCAGAGGAGCCTTCCTGTCTCTGGAGATCAACAGAGCGCTCTCCCAAAGAAACCTGCACCCTCCCTGGGAATTTACTGCTTCACAGCAAAAATTCGGAAAGCATTTCCATCTGAAGGATTCTTCAAGCTGGAGAAAAAGAGAAAAGAAAAAAAAAAAAAAGTAATAAACCAAATGCAGGCACTGCAGGACCCAAAGGGTGATAGACCTTCAGGCACCTTCAAATTTCTTTTTGGAATTCACAGTGTGGCCCTATGAAGAGGAGGAGAAAGAGAAAGGACAAAAAAAGAAGAAGCACAAATCCACAAGTTCACTTTCGTTTTATGCTTTCATCCAAATCTACAGTGCTGATGCCAACAAAAGGAGCTGGGAAGCAAAACTTCTCTGACAGCGCCAGCTTTCATCCAAGGAACACTGTGCTCCCTTCTGCAGGGATCCAGGCACAGAGAGGAACACGCTTTCCTAAAAACAGTTGTCAAAGTGCTGGCCCGTCTCCTGGTGCTGGCAGTGGGAGCAGCCAGATCAGCTCACGTTCAATGATAATAAATATGGATATTCGTTTTCAGTCTGCAGCGATGTCCCCAACAGCTCCAGCCCCCAGCTGCTGGGGATGGCTGTGTGCAAGGGGCTGTTTCTGTTACCAGCCCTTATTTCTCCAGCCCTCCCGGGCTACAAAACCCCAAGAAAAAAGGCAAAATTTCATATTCCTGCAAAATAAATATTCCAACAAGTATAAAGACTCAGCAAATCTTAAAGGCAACATTTTCCTGTACCTGTTTGGGTACATATCTTTAACAAAGTTATTTTCCTAGAGGCCAAGGTTTTCACCTTGATCCTTGGAACACTTTCCAAACTTTCATGCTCATCCCTGCTGCGAGAACGTCTTTGGTTTCCCTCACCTCCTAGATCAGCACCTGCTGCTCGTATTGCATGTCCCTGCTCGCGGGAGCTAGGGCAGAGTTTGCCATCCACCTAAAAAGCTGCCTCAGTGTAAAAGATAAGTGAAAGCAAGACAGAGATAGAAGAAAACTCATATGAACAGGAGGTTTGTCACCTAAATCCAATCCACCAAACCACAAAATGCTGTCCATGATAGAGCTATACCAAAGAAGCCCATATTTAATGTCTATGGCTTTCCTGTCTTAGCCTAGTTTTATTTTTTTTGAGATGCTCTACAGCAGTCTGAGATATCCATTATCAGAATAAAAATAACAAACTTGTTTGGATTTCTTGTGATAATTATAAAAGAGGAACCGCACAGAGCAGACCAAGACATGCTAGTAGTGTTCAAACCCCTCCGTAATAGTGGGAAACTCAGAGTTTAAAGAGACAACTCTGAGAAATCACTGCCATCATACCAATATCTGAAAAAAATATATCAGACTGAAACAGAAGTTTCAAATTAGAAAGGACTTAGCGAGCTGCCACTCGATCATTGCCACCATCTGGAAGAGCAGGATTTTGGAAGCACTGATAATCGTACACTGAAACCAGCAAGGTCAGCCCAAAAGAAACGACAAAAAAAATTACAAGGGTGGTCATGCCAGCTTGAAAAACTGTTTGATCATCTCTCAAAATGTTGATTTGCTCATGCTTCTTTCCAAGAGGATGGAGGAAATCAGTTAACAAACACAAATGCATCCCACACCCTAGAACTGAATGGAAATCCCAGTTATAGCCTCAAAGCATGATCCAGGCGGAAAGCTGCAGGAATACCCGTGCTTATCTTTGATTGTGTTAAACACACACAACAAAATGTATTCCTATGGACTCCTACTGTAATGAAATTAAACAGGGCTTCTCAATATTTCGTAACTTTCACACCAGTCTGAAAGCAGCTACTCACTCGTGGAAGGTGAGAGCAGGACAACATGCTCTAGTTGTTCGGGTCTCGAAATTCACAGCGACACTGCTAAGGCACATATTTCCAACCCACCAGCCTTCCTGGCTGATATCTGCTGACTTTGACATACAACTGAGCACACCGTCGAGAATAAGAGGAAAGTACAAAGAGGAAAATCCCACCTCTCAGACTGGACTCCGTTCTTTAAGGAGCCAACATAACTTTTCTTCTTTTCTACAGGCATCACGTCCACAAAACCACCTCTTTCATCTGAAATGACTCCTGCATGCACTGCAGTCTTGCAGATACTGGAGCTCTGAAAAATATTTCATTAATAATATTATTTAATTTAATTAATAATAGGTATTAATATTTAATATAGACAAACTCTCTATATTTTATATCTGGAGATTAACCATCTCCATAAGCACCAAAGAAAACCAGGGAATTAAAAAAAAAAAAAAAAAAACTATGAAACAATTCTGTCCCTCTTATGGATAGACTAGGAGTAAAAGATGTCATGGACCAGATCTTACAGGTATGTCATAAACCGTGGCTATAAGAAGACCCACCAGCACCACAGACGACAAGCACCCTTCCCCACCTCTCCCGTTCGCGGTGGAGCTACACCCAGGGGATTATCCAGGGCCAAAGCTGAATCGAGGACAACTTTCCAGCCAGAGAAACCTCTGTGGTGAAACTCTTTGGTAGTGACCAGCCACCTCAGCAAAGTTTATTCACCCAGCTGCTTGAAAAGCAGACTCTCTTTCCAAATTAAGGGAACTGACCACCAGTTCTCCAGGACAGTTCACATCCTTCTTTCTAGGAAAAACAGAAGGACGGCACCCATCGAGTGGGGTAGTTTTCGGACAGGCATTACTCCGTAAGACAACACCGTGTATGAAGGAAATTCACATTTCTGAAAAGACAAGCACATCACACCGTTGCCCTGCTCTCCAAGATGTGCAGCGTCAGAAGAGCCGGAGGAACACAAAACACTAACAACCGATGACTAAGCTCCCAAAGCATCCAGAAAAGAGAGCAAAAGCAGGGAAGGCTTAGGCAGAGTATAAACTTGGCCGTCAGCTCTCTGCAGGATTTACATACAGCAAGCTGGAATCACAAAAAAGCAAAAACCAGCTCTGCACAGGGAACCGCAGCAGGTGAAAATCCCAACCCCATAAACTCCCCGATCGCTAAAAATCAAAGTACCACAAAACCAGTGCCAAGGGCAAATGTTCCCATCGTGTACGTACAATACGGACCGCACTGTTTCATTCTTGCAGCCATATATGGCAGGTTTGCCTTGTCCCCTATATATTTATCACTTTGGATGGCCTATCTCTTGGCAGCTCGCGGAGTTTCAAGTGCCAATTTGGTATTTTGCTTCTATATATGGTCAAGGGAGCAAGGGAACAGTGTTTAGAAGAATCCGCCCTAGCATGCGGTGGGAAATCTGTAAATCTAAAACTGGCTCAAAAAATTAAACTGTCCTGGATCAATTTGCGACACCCTCCACTGGGAGACATCCTAAACAATGTTCTTTTCAAAGCATCCCTGGTTTTTTCCAGGACTTGCTGTTCTGCCGCTTACTCAAAGCTTTGACCAAAAGGCTTTTTATTGCCTCACCCCAAGCCTCCCTTATCACTCTGTTGGATCACAGCCCTCTTACATCCCAGGCCAGGCTTCACTTTGATGAGTTGATTGCAGAGTTTTTGGAAGATGAGCCATTACAAGAACAAGGTCTTCCCCTCAAATTCAGGAATACGACACTGTACGGACAACGCAACGGTTTCCCATGGTGTAGCCCCTTGGGATGCGGTGGCCTCTGAGGCACACACCATTAAATGACAATACTTTTTACAGTGGGCCATTAGCAACAGTCGGTGACTATGAGCTTAATCACCCGTTATTTCCTCATTAGTGGTTTAATCATTAAGTTCCTATCTCCTGAGAGCTGAGCCGCCAGGCCAGCGCTGGGTTTGCTCTGGCGATAAACGCCTGCCTCGTTACGAGGAGGTGATCTATCCTCCTACTAATTGCTGCACAACTGCGGATAAAAGACCTTATCTCACGAGCAGAGAGTCATTTTCTCTCCCAGCTCCACAGGGCTCCTGAACAGGGATGGGGAGGGGTCTGCCTTGCAGTCTCATGTCACATTAGGAGCCAGGCAGCATCTGGTGAAACTTAAAAGCTCTTTTACAGCCTTGACAAAGAACTCTGGGTATTCTCACAGCTCCAGCATCACCCCAGAACTGGTCCTGTCCACGTTAGCAAAATCAGCAAAAAAAATGAGTTTTATTTCCTAGGCACAATCATGTTCTCTTTTTTTTGTTGTTTTTTATCCTCACCCCATCTCCATGGCAGCATGGAACTTTGCTGCAATGTGCCACCAGGGAAAAGAGGCAACAAATTTTTTGTTCCCCAGCCAGATGCTTTTCTCTACTAATTCCAGCAGTGGGAGGATGCTGGACACGTTCCCCCCGTGCCACTTTAATCCGCAAACCCTGCCTGCGGGCAGCAGCTCTGTTCTCACCAAAAAGTAATGCCATTCAATGGAAAGACCTGACATTTAGGCATCAACTTTTCCCTTAGTATATTTTCTTGCATTTTGTTCCTTTAATCCAAAATTTAAGGCTCCTCTATGTCCCTGTCTCACAGTCTTACTAATTTCCCTGTGAACAATTTCCTGCACTGCTTTTTAAAGCAAAGGCTGCCAATATCTCTTTGCACTTTAAGCCATCAGGAGTACCGAGGAGATAGTCTTTAAAGCACACAAACCAAGATAATTTTATAATGACGAGTAAAAAAACCCGATCAGAATGCATTTAAAGTGGGTAAAATCCCTTAACACAAATGGAGATTACGCCCCCTGAATAAAAATCAGAATTAGCCCACAAAAACTGCCAATTCTTCATGTCAGAGTTTTGCTCTTTATGGGAAAACAAACTTTCACATGCCTTGCTGAGATCACGTCAATGTGAACGCGATCTCGGGTGAAAAGCACAGAGAATCGGGTCGTTACACAGACTGGCCATCCCTAACCATTCTATGATTTATGATTTTTGTCATCAAAATGCTTCATTTGCTTTTAAATAACTTATTTAAGAAGATAGTTGTAGCACAAGTCCACCCAGGACCATGAAGGCACAGCTCTAGACATGAAGCCAAAGAGCCCTCCCAAGACTAGCATTTGTCTCATCCAGCTTATTCCCTGCTTCAGTTATTCCCTGGCTGCGGGCTGGGGTTAATTCACAGCATCCCCTCCTGGAGAGCATCCTGCCCAGCCCGTGCTCCCTGGGAAAAGCCGTTGCCCAAATTCTCCCTGCACAGCATGGATGTTTCTCTTGGCAGCTTTCCAGCCTGAGCGTTTCTCAGCATCAGTACCTCTCCCTTTGCAGCATGTTTCACAGCCACCTCAAACTGTTTTTTCCCAACTGGTTTCACCTGCTTTGCTACCAACCTTGCACTCTTATAAAAACCTAAATACTTTCCTTATTATACCCACACCACGCTGTTAGTACAGTAGTCCAGAAAAAGGCCAACCAAACCCTCTAGGAAGTGGCCAAACACCTTTTCTTTTCTTTTTTCTATTTTCCTCCCAAATCACAGTCCATGCCCTCATTTATGAAACAATACCCAGGGGGTACGGTAGGAAATGGAACTTGCGATTCATTAAAGGACACTAATCCTTTTGCGTCAGTACAAACCAGGAAACACTGCCAGCCGGGATGCTGGCCCTCGCCTAATACCCTTGTAATCCCAGGTCCGGTTCAGGGGTAATCTGAGGTAGTTTTGTCCTCAGTAAAAGAGAGAAAACTATTTCCCATTTCCTGCCAGTCGGAGCACGCACAGAGGCAGATACCGCGGGGTGGCAGCTGCCCGATGAATTTGCACGTGAGCTGGTCCAGGATAACCTGTTTGTGCAGCTCTGCCCATGAAAAAATTGAGTAAAATTTTAAAAAATAGCTGCTTGGGTTTTTTTTCATTGTTTTCAAATTTCCTTGCCCCAAATTATTGTATTGATGTTTCTTCTCAGGGGTCTGCAAAGCTCCACGCTGACCCCAAGCTGGGGGTCCATGGTCTGCCGACTGCTTCCCCCAGGCCTCCAGGAAGCACGTTCCTATGGGCTACACACCAGCCACGGAGCTGGCATTTCTAAATACAATCTCTGAACGGGGGAAAAGAAAAAAAAAAGAAAAGAAAAAAAAAAGGCACCCACAAATGGAAAAAACTTCAAACCCAGTTTTTAGAGGCCTAATATTAAGAGATTTCAAAAAAAAAAAAAAATTACTCTTTGCCTAGTTTTAGCTTCAAGTCTATACTCATCTCCATGAGCAGAGTTTAGAAAAACAAACCGATAAACCAACTCGCATGCTTTCCTTCCACTTCTCTGCGCTGTGTCCTGACTGCTCAAAAACTCTGTTCAGCTCCAGAAAGAGAAGGATGAGGGAGGGGGATATCTGTTTTCACCAGCTATACAGTGTGATAGCAATAATAAAAGCCCTCTGGTGCTCATCTGCAGATCTCAAAACACTGCAGAGGCAGACGAGCGCTGCTGTCATCTCACAGCCACAGCCCGTGAGGCACGGAGGGGTTCAGTGACCTGCCCAAGTCCTAGAATCACAGGATGGTTTGGGTTGGAAGGGACCTTAAAGATCATGGATCCACCCCCCTGCCATGGGCAGGGACACCTCCCACCAGCCCAGGTTGCTCAAAGCCTCATCCAGCCTGGCCTTGAACCCCTCCAGGGATGGGGCATCCACAGCTTCTCTGGGCAACCTGGGCCACTGCCTCACCACCCACACAGGAAAACATTTCTTCCCAATATCTAGTCTAAATCTCCCCTCTTTCAGTTTAAAGCCATTCCCCCTTGCCCTATCACCATGTGCACTTGTACAAAGTCCCCCCCCCCATCTCTCCTGTAGCCCCCTTTCAGCACTGGAAGGTGCTGGAAGGTCTCCCCGGAGCCTTCTCCTCTCCAGGCTGAACAACCCCAACTCTCTCAGCCCTCTGACCATCTCTGTGGCCTCCTCTGGACTCGCCCCAACAGGTCAATGTCCTTTTCACGTTGGGGACCCCAGAGCTGGATGCGATACTCCAGGTAGGGTCTCAAGAGAGCGTAAATCAGCGCCAGAGAGTGGAAAGGCTCCCCAAGCCCATTGACTCCAACCTGCTGTGGTAGATGTTGCACTTTGTTGGTTCTCCTTCTTCCTTCATCCCCATTTACCCCATCCCCACACCATGCTCCCTGCATTCCCTCAATCACAGAGTATGACCCCAGCTCTGCGATACAGACATCGTGGTACACGGGGGCATCAGGGCTAGGAGCATACTCACATCTGCATAAACATTTGTGCCAAACACGGGTGCCCAGTACGACGGCTCGTCTTTACAGTAGGCTGGACAATAAACCCTAGAAAACAATTGATTCATAGTTATTCTCTGTATCAAGGCTCAACAGGAAAGTGAGCCGCATTCTTGGGAGATTTCAAGTGCCTGCATCTGGTCTGCAGGTGGCAACAGTGAATTTAATTATTTGTTCCCCTCAGATGACATTTGGTAGCTGCTGCATAACTGCAAATGGAGGGATTTAGGCCAGTAAAAAAGGAACTGGTCTTTTACGACGTGTTCAAAGGGGAGTACCTGTATTTTTGCACAACACACATCGTTATTTGCACGCATTTGTGCCCCGCTGCTGTGACTTACACCTGCACAAAGCAGCTTTCTAGAACACACCTCTGCCATGTTTTAAGGTGGAAAGGAAAACCACACCCAAAAAAACTCAAAAACGAGCTCCATCCCTACTAGTCCTCAGGTTTGGGGACCTCAGCATCCCCCACTAAGCTGTCCCCCCTTGGAGCAGAGCAGGTTTAAGCTGAGCATGAGTGGGTTTGTGTTACCTTGGGCAGTGGGTCGCCGGCTTTTTGAACTGGCACAGCTCAGCTACCGTCGTGTATCAATCTAGCAATCCAGCGTCTGTGCTGCGGAAATGAATATGGAAAAGCAGATTACTAGATATAATAGCTCAGGCAGCTGCAGAAAATGTAAGTCACAGTCATGCAGTGCATCTGATGAGACCCACGTCCAGCTGAGAGCACTGGGAGGAAAGCTGCTCGCTCCTTTACCTGCACCCAGGAGAGGGCTGAGCAGCTCTCCAGCAGAAATCTTGCTGCCGTACTACCATGTGGCCCTAGAAAGGTCACAGCTTTCCAAAGAGAAAAGCAGCTGACCCACAAGACGGTGTGTTTTTGCTGCAGCTCCAGATGGTGAGTCCAAACAACCTGACAGCTACAGCTTCCCCTGAAAGTGGCCAAGTGGATCTAATCAAAACGATGACGTAGGAGGAGGAATTGTTCAAATATATTCAGAAAGTGGGAGATGTTTAAAAAGTAGAACTCTGTCTTATTGATTTATATGACTTATCACAAATATGATGACTCACTGTTATAAATAAATTTCATATGTATTGTGTGTTTCATTATACTATTGCACTATTAGGTACTATTTTTTTTCAGTTTTTATGCAGTGTTCTCACTAGACTGAGGCTTTCACACAAGGATGGCTCATCTTCCACCACTTTACTATCAGCAGCTCATGATGCTGCAGCTGATGTTTGGACCCAACCATGATCCATCCCCAGGAGATGCTGCTGGAAATGGCCTGTCACCACCTTCTTCTGTACCTTCCTCCTAAACCCCCACAGAAAAGTGAGGTGGTTGAGGGTGGAATGGCCCATAGCGGGTGATGGATTGCCACTCTAGGGCTTCGTTGTGGCACTGAGCCATTTGACGTGGCCACTTAAAATGAACAAGAGCACTGTAAGGGGTGATGTTTCCAGGTATCCCATAAAACTCTAGCAACAATGGTTTCTTCTCAACTTTTAAGACTTACTTGTGACTTTGGAAACCATGAAGGCATTTGAAGGTTTACTTTTCCTGCAAAACAAGCAAACAAAAACATTTATGAAAAAAATAAGCATACTAGAATTACTTGAATCACTATGTCTACATACGAGTAACAAAGAAGACTGAATGTCTGCTTACATTTAAAGCAAATACAAAAACTTTTGAATGAAGATAGTACCTAAAAGACTCCACGCCGTTCCTGGTAGACTTCACAAAACCTGGCGTCCTCCCCTTCCTCGTGATATCAACCAGTCCTCCTTTATTGTCCAGGATGCCGTAATGAATCGCAGCACGACATATACTTGAGGACTGACAAGAGCACAAATACAAAGAGCATGTGAAATAAATCTCATTCACAGAGCAAGGCTGACCAACCGCTGTGCAAAAAAATGAAGAAGAAATGAAATCACCACCAAAGCGCCAAATGGAAAATAAACTGAGTACATTCCTTTGGAATCTGGTTGTTAAATCTTACTCTCTCAACACAACCTAATTCTTTTATTGTTATTATTATTTTAAGCACTGCCTGGTTGAATGGCAAGCTTCTCTCGAATAACAAAACCGTATATTTAGATACAATTTAGAAGAAAAGCAGCATTGGAAATAAATTACTAGGATGAAATGTTTCCAGTTTTCAATGAAATATTCAAACCCAAAATATTTCTGCTGAAACCACTTGGAGGAGGCAGCTGTCTGCAATCACAGAAGTCGCAGGGCAGAGCAGTTCCATGGGCGATGGAGTCATGCTCCGACAGCGAGAATGGGGAAAGCAAACACGTTTTTACACAAAAACCCTTTTAGCTGCAACCTTTCTTCACTCCAAAAGTAGTTTTGATGGGAAAACAGCACCACACTTTATTTATAAATTATCTTGCTAATTCAAAATCCAGCAAATCAGCCCAAAATATGGTGTAGTTACAACATTTCACAGTGTTTTTCGTATAAAGTTTCTGTTCAGCATGACAGCTGCCCACGCCAAAGAAGAGACCTTTGTAAGAGCTGTCTATTGATCCCCATCCCTCCCTTTCCATGGGATCATCACACATTAAAGGCATTCATGATAAAAATCAAGTCTGGAATCACTTTGCCTTTCCAGACTGCTTCTTTTTTTTCATCACTAAGATGAAGAAAATACAGATAATCTCTATCAGCATCATTTTATGTAGAATACCAAAAGCCAAATTACACTAGAATTGTTGGCATTTCCCATTTCTGTGATTACCGCGAACTCCCCACAAATTACATCTACGAGCTATTAAAAGGTACTTACACTCTCATAATAAAATGTTCCAAAGATCTTTCCCTTACTGTACAAGCAGCCAGCTGGGCACAAATACCTAGTAAAGATATATATCTTTGAGGGTGGCGAAAAAACAATTCAAGAAAAACAGACTTTGACTCTATTTAATTTAATAGTCATTCCATTCATTTCACGTAACTCTTCCATTTAAAAACAAGATTGCAAAATAGCTACTTTTTAAAACAGTTTCTCCACCCTCTTTAAAAGCCCGACCAATATTTAGATTCTGTGGGTTTGGTTTTTCTCCAAGTGATAAACTGTCCCGTTCTTTGCAGAAACCTTAACCAGAAGTTCTCAACTGGCTGGGAGGGGAGAAGCCATGAATTATGGGTCTGGCTTGGACAGCGGTGGAATGCATGAAAAAGGCTCAAAAAGTGACTCTGCCAAAATGTATTAAACGATTTTGGACACCTGAAACTGTGGGTCATCATGGCTGGATAAAATAAACTGAGTCACTTTATTGCTAGGCTTGGCTGAAGGCTTTGTATTAAGAGAAATGAAGAGGGGGTTTTTTTTGAAAAAAAAGAGATATACCTAGATAGTCACAAAAAAAAAAAAAAAAAAAAAAAAAAAAAAGTAGAGTCTATGCTATGTTTGCAAGAACCAGACAATTTTTAGGCCACTTTTTCTCACAGTGCTCCAAGAGGTATCACTAAAACTCTACCTGTTGCATGTTGAGCCTCTGCATTTGTCTCTCATCTTGGTTTCACAGGTAATGACTTGTGCTGGGGAGAAAAAAAAAAAAATCAACAAAATAAATAAATATTTTAAAAAGGAAAGAGACTGCCATGGTGTGCTCTGGAGCTATGGAGATGAACAACCACCACCCGTCTTTCCTGGAGGTCTTTGGTGCTGCAAGATAAAAATCTTATCACAGAACAACGCAGCCTGGAGCGGTTCGTGCCTCTTTAGCCCTTCACCCGAGACAGGTGTCTTTGGAAATATTAGGAAGGAAGAAACATCTGACAGCTGAAGGCTTTGATTTACAGCCCGAGGTCTGCAGCCAGAGCGCTCGTTCTCCGTTTAATTACAGACTCTGGAGATGCTGGTAGATAAACTTGAAAAGGATGCGTTGGCTTGCCTCGCCTTGTTTTCACAATAAGTCCCTTCTAATTAACAGTGATCAGAAAACAACCGAGGAAGTACTATCAGCTCTGCAAATAACTTCAGAAATCTTCCCAACCAAGAAATAAAAAGGGAACAAAGTAAAAAAAACCCAGAAAAGCTGCAAAGAGTGTCACTGCTGAGTGTGGAGTATTTAAAATGGGAAATAAAACTGGTATTTCCTAAATTAATTACTGATCAGGGGACCTTTGGTTCATTGATACTGCATTGAGATGGCTTAAGAACAAGTACCTATTGCAGACTGATGTGCAGAAGGCACGAGTTGCTTTTGGAAGCTTTGCTTCAGGCAGGCTTCTGCTATAATTATGACTTCTCATGATGGCTTAAGAACAAGTACCTATTGCAGATTGATGTGCAGAAGTTGCTTTTGGAAGCTTTGCTTTGGGCAGGCTTCTGCTATAATTATGACTTTTCACACAGATCACCTCCCCCTCCACTCAAACACCCTCCCAGTTATTTTTTCACTGAGCATCCTCATCCCTTTCCACACCTTTTCCCATGAAGGTACTTTAAAACTTACAGGAGCTAAAAAAAAAAAGAAGCCATCTTACTCATGTAGGATTCCGGGATGATTTTCTTGGGCTTGATGGGTTTGCTGGGCTTGCTTTCCGGAGGGTGGAACCACACCGGGTTTTGCTCTGCCACCTGCGAAATCTCCACCTCGTTAGTCTCGTCCGTCTCAGCGATGACCGGATCTTCGTAACGGTAATCTGGGTAGGAGAGGGGACTAAAAATAATTACAGTGTGTTCACGTTGACAGGGAAATCGGACAGGTTCATATTTTGAGGGAGGTCATCTAGTTGATAAAGATCTGCTTTTAAATAGCTGGAAGCTCAAAAATGCCCGTTAAATGCAGTGCAGGGCTATTGCCAGGGCAAGCACAGCATCCAGAAGGGACGTTGCTGCTCTCCTGCTCCTCTGCACATGAAGGAGCACTTAGAGCATCTTACAATAAAGGTTTGAATTGATCCCCACTAATCTGTGAAAAAAAGTGCTGACATTTCTTCTTCTGTTTCCCATACAGCTCCTTCTGTCTGGAGGAAAACACAGGTTTGCTGAAGCACACATGCACAAAGAGGGCCCTGGTATCTGGGAATGTGGCTGAAACCTTCTCTCCTCCCTCCTGGGTTTGCTTCTCAGAACCACCCCACGAGCACGGCTCCAGCCAATGCTCCAGTAAAGCACAGGTCTTGCTACAGCATGATCCCAACTTTTACACCTGCAGCAAGTTCTCCCCTCCCTTTACCCTCCGATGGAGAGCAAGCTGTCTGCTCTTGCAGCCAGGCAAAGGGAAATCCCAGCAAAATTCATCCTGCTTGGCCAGACCTACCCAAAACCCTGCACTGCTCCGGTCCTTGGCAATGAGGAGGGGAACGATGCAAGTGAGGGATGATGGATGGTGGCTTCAAGAGGTTTTTCTACCACCAGGGCATCCCCTCTCCCCACTACAGCCCACCTGGACCCCAGGAACCTCCCCCTGCACCCACCACCCCAGGCTAAGAATGATAAATGCAACGCTGCAGCAAAATAAGCCTCTGCTTTGGGCAAGTCTCCAGGGAACCTGGGTGTTTCTAGGAGCCTAGCTCTCTATGAAGCAAAACAGAAAATCCTGCATGCGGGGGGATAGCACTGCTTCACTGGAGATTTCAGTGTGAAGAATATTTTTTTAATTTTTTTTTTTTTCCAGGAAAAAAATCCCCTCCTCTCCTTCAAGAGACACGAATCTCTATATTCATTTTACAGCCGTGAAAACCAAGGTGGGCAGAGAGGAAAACGCTCCATCCCCAGCCCCCAAAGGAGCAGGGCAGGCAGCCAAGCTCTGCCCACCCACGTCGCCTCCAGTCATCGCTGGAGAACATTCCCTTCCCAAACAAACCCCGCGAGGATGGGATGGCTCCTGCCCGCAGCCTGCCAGCGCTCAGAATCCCGCCAGAGCTCCCCGGCCAAACCCACGGAAGCTCAGAGCAGCTTCCCCCGGACCTGAGCGCTCACTCTCGTTTTCACCAGGGAAAACACCCTGAAATTTTAAGTAGTTCAGTGTTTTTCAGTTTCAGCAGCCACCAGCGATTCACCACGTGCTGGGATGTGGAAATATTAAGGATGGTTAATTAAAAGGTGCATAAAGCTGCAGCTGCTTCCAATTAAAAGTTTCCAGGCATAAGTTTGCTCCAGCATTTTCCCCATCCCAAGAGGGTGCCAGGGAGCCCCAAGCCCCCCACCACGTACCTTTGTAGCAGAGGTTGTTCTGGCAGCCTCCTCCGTAGCTCGGCGGGCACTCAGAGCAGGGGCGGCCGGTCTTGTACGGAGCTTCTCCGATCCAGTTGCCCCTGCAAGCGCAGGAGCAATGCGCAGCCGTCAGCCACCCCAGTACCCATCCAACCCGATCCCATCATCTTCCGCAACACCCCCAGGCAGCTGCATGGGACAGGCTGGAGTACAGCTCTTGCCATTTAAAAGCTGCTCCATTATTCCGTCTGTTTTCCAAAGAGAAAACCACCAAGAAATACAGGTACCCCCACGCCAGATCATCTGGGAACCAGAGATGCAGAAACATCGTCCTAGCCCAGAGAAACTAAGCAAAGACCAAATAACCAGCCCAGGAAAGCCTTGTAAGAGAAACTTTCCTCCTCATTTCAGCTCTAAGAAGACATTTCAAGGCCAGGCTGGACGAGGCTTTGAGCAACCTGGGCTAGTGGGAGGTGTCCCTGCCCACGGCAGGGGGTGGCACTGGATGGGCTTTAAGGTCCCTTCCGACCCAAACCATCCTGTGATTCTATGATTTTTTAGAGTTTTACATAAATAAATGACATGCAATATCACTTTTACATTAAACTCCAATAGAAATACTGCGATCTTATGTAAACAGAAGTAAATTAATGGATTACTGCAGTTTCCTCAAGAAACTACCCAGAAACAAACGCCCTTTTGGGCACCCTGTGCTGCAGACTTCAGAGGCTGAGAAGGTGGCAGGAGCCGGAGTTCAGCCCACGGTTATATTGCTCTTTCAGCTGTCTCCACCTATGAGGCCAGATGAGGACAGCGTGCACTGATGCCAGAGAGAAAAGATCAAGCAGAAACTGCCGAAATAGAGTGTTTTTCCATCCAGCAGCACTAAATGGATGACTTCAGCATGACAGTGTGACCCTGTACGAGGAGCAGGTTATTAAATCCCACCAAACCAAAAGCATAACGTGCTCAGGAGCTAACGTGGGGAGAGGGGGTCAGGCAACCCACCCGAAGGGCTCTGCCTGCATCGTGCTGGGAGCTGCCAGCTCTGTACCCACACATCTTACTTCTCTGCGTTACTCTGCCCTACAATTTCCAGAAGTCAGATGCTCTCCAAGCCGCTCCATTTGTAGGTAGTGATTTCTTTATTTCATTTTGCGGCTAAGATTTAAATCTCCAAGGGCTTGGAGTGGGAACGTTTCTCTTATTAGCCATTAAAGGAGAAAATATGAATTGTCTCTGCCAGGGAGGAAACTTTTCCTGGATGTAACAGTCAAGAAATGTAATTTTCACTTTGAAAGTTAATCAAACAATCAAGTTAACTTCATCAGTCAAGATTTACCTATTTTAATTTTTTTTTAATTTTTTTTTAAGCCACGAGGAGCTTATGGGGTCTGGGATTTATCTCTCCACAGCTCCTTGCAGCAGAGCCCAGCTCACTCCGCTCCCCCCGGCGACTGCTGCAGGGCTGGCACCGCACGAACAGCGGTGTGTTTAAACCAGCAGATTTTGCAGAAGGAGGGCAAAAAATATATCACCATACCACAGCCTACCTGGCTGGGCACAGAGGCTGTTGCTGGAGCAGCGTTAATCCCTTCCCCATCCCCTCCCAGCACGGAGCCCTCCCTCGGCAGCACGCGCCAGCTCCGTCCTGGCCATCGCCTGCTCCTCCTTCCCGCGGCAGGAACATCAAAGCTCCCGCCTGGCCCTGGCCCCTCGTTCAGTTTTCCAGGCAATGCTCAAAAGTCTTGAACCAGGAGAAAATTTAAAGCCACAACCACCGGTCTAGACTGCCTGAAATCTCTTCCCCAGATTCCGGGCTAGTTAAGCCAGCTGCTGGGTTTAGGAAAGCTGGAGGGAGCCCAGCTCCTCCGCCTTACTTGGGCGAGTAGTTGCAGACCAGGTAGACGGCGTCCTCCCAGATTTCTCCCCAGACGTTCATCTGCTTGCAGACGTTCACGGCACAGCCGATCTTGTTCGTTGTGGCCCAGACTATCTGCAAGTGCAAGGCGGTGGTTGAAAATGGGCAAACTACCCTGCCGCGGGCACACGGTGCAGGGACAACGGGGACGTGGGGGATACAGAGGGTAGAGGTGCCAGTTCCCTTCGTCTCTGTTACCTGGGTGTAATGCGTGCACATGGAGCCCGTGCATTTCTCCGGGCACCACGGGTTGCACTCGTGAGGATACGGGTAGGTGTAATCCTTCACTTCATCGTACCAAGACTGGACATGGAAAGCTGGAGACCGATACCTGAAGGAGTAAAAAGTTTAAATCACTAAGTTCTGGCAGAAGTTTTCAAACAATATCTGTAGCCTCCTGCCATATCATAAGCTCAGATTTTTTTAATAAAAGTTTTGCTAATTTTTACATAAAAGTTTCTTAAGGCAAGTTCCATTCATTGAGAAGCTGCTGCTTAAAGAACCCAGTAACATGGTCTAATGATCAGCAAAAAAAAAAATCTCATTGAAAACTTTAAAGATTATTCATTTCCTTAAGATTCACCGCCCGGTCTGACTGTCTGTATTATTTATAGGTTTGACACACTCCCCAAGTGCCACTGACCTGAAATGTCCTCATGACTTTTCCACACAACTAGAAAAAAAACCCTTCCAGTTTGGCGGAGAGTTGTATTTTCAAAGTAAACAGAAGTTCAGGTTTGCCAAACATCTTAACCCAAAAGCCATCATGTACCTATTTTACCACCGGGCAATTTGCTAAATCTGGAAGTACGCTGGCCGTTGATACTGTAAGACCTTTGAAAGCAAGGGGACTTCTTCACACTCAGTCAGAACCAAGAGTCTCAGTGCAGAATGCTCGATGTCCTACATGTCTACCCCACTTTTTATTGCAGCAATTGCTCCTCTGCACCAAGCCCCCCACCAGTTGCACGTATTTTGTGCAAACTATACCCCAGATATTGCAACCTGTGGCAGCACTGATGCCGCTTGTGCTCTTTGAGGAACACAAATGGTGCTAAAACTACCTATAGAAACCCATATATATTTTGCATGCTACGGTGAGCAAACAGAGCGAGCTGCAAACTCTCCATCAAAGCAGAGCAGCGTCTCAAACCTGCTGCTTTTTATTGCTTTCAGCAGCTCACACGAAGGAAGCAGCCAGAAATACAAATGATATCATTACCAACTGGAGTTTGTTCTTTCAGCCAACTCTTCATTAAAAATCATTCATTAGGAATATTTTAAAAACATTAATCTCATGATGTCATTAAGCGAATACTTTCCGAATCCTATTTTACAGGAGCGGAAACTGAGGCAATCAAGTTATGGCCTGTTCCTGAAAACACTGAGATAAATCTGATTTTTTTTTTCTCTCTCAATGACTGCAAAGGGAGGAAGATTGGATCTACCTCCATCAGTAACCTATGGCCATCCTGACAGCTTGCAGGAGAGCCAAGAACAGCCAGATCTTGCAACTATTTCCAATGGATTAACCACTCTACTTTCCAATCATTATTTAATTCTGCCAACAAAAACAGGCCCAATCTTTATATCAGGCCAATTTCACACCAGCAAATTTCCACTGTTTTCAACCAAGTTCTACCTGATTTACAACAAGCATAACTGGATTTCCACCCATTAGGCTCCCGAGCACATATAAAATGTTCGCTGTGCAAAGCAGGCTTAACGATAGGGGCTTAGCAATAAACAAATTTTGTCATGGGATGGAGAGGCAAATCCATTTGGAAGCCTTAACATCAGCTTTCCCAGCTGGTTTAACAACTCTGGGTTAAAAAACTTCCCCAGGAAGTTGAAAAAAAATCTGCAAAGTGGTTTCAGTAAAGAGAAATTAGGAGCTGGATGAATATTTCTGGGAAATACAGCAAGGGATAATTAACTTCTGAACTAACAGCTGAGTCCAGATATTGTTCCTGAGAAACCGGGAAAAGACAGCTGCAGGTGGCTGCAGATGTTATCGCTAGAAGTGTTTTACTGCAGCAATACCCATTGTTGGTCCTTATTTTCTCCTGTCTCCCCAAGTGCTCTACTCAGCATCAACCAGACAAACCTTTCCAACTGGCTCTGAAGGAGGACCCGTAAACTGCTCTTTGGAATGAGCTTGTAGCACCCCAACTCTTACCTGCCCCAGTGAACCGCCAAGTTCTGTCCGATTGACCTGATGAGGGCACTGGGCCCATGGTCCCACTTGCACTGCAGAGCCCAGGCATGGGCTGATCTTTCCAGCTCATCATCCCAGGTCTGCAGAGGGAGGGGAGAGAAAAGAACAGGTCAACTTTTCACATCAAGTTTATTAGATCAAGAGACACAACCAACAGCAATGAGTGGAGAAAGACTAAATTACAGCTTACCCCATGTGTTTAGCCTGTCCTTATGAAGCCAGCACATTTTAATGACATTCCCTGACCTAAAGGCAAGTTTTTTTAAGATGTCCCCCTGCCATGGAAATGCAGGGCATTAAAGGGTCTGTTATTTTCCCTGCTTGATGCCATGCTTCTTAGGAGATGCTTTGCACAGGTTATCAGGAAACAGACTTGGCAAGAGAATCCATCTAGACTACCCACCCTAAAACACAACAAGACATTCTTGGCAGGTATTTTTACAATCTGTTTAAAAAAAAAAAAAAATCAAGGACAGAGATCCCAGTGCTTCCCCATGACACCTCTTTCTGAGATCTGCAAGACTTCTAACAAGCAGTCCCTGCTCTGATGTAGTTGCAGCCCAATTTTCCAACCGTTGTCCTCACTATCAGGACATTTCCTGGCTTTTCCACCAAAGAGGACTCCAAAAGTGGATGTGCTCCTGCCCGTCACTACCAACACAGCTGGAGATTTTTAGCCCAACCTCCTGAGCAAGGAGTGTGGGTCTGAGTCTCCCAGTCCCAACTCCCCTTCTCCTTCCAGAATAACTGCTGAGTCCATCGATGGATCCAGTCAAATCTGACAGAGGTGGCAAAGTCTCAGAGCTCTTGAGCCAATACCACTCTCACTGAAATGGGCATCGGAGGTGACAAATCCCATTTACGTTCCCACTGAGGGAAGGACGTTGGTGTGAATATCACCCAGCTGAAAGCCAAACAAGAGATCAACCACAATTCAAAGACAAGTAGGAGAGCAGGCTCCATAGGCTCCACTGCCCAGGAGTGTATTTGTTTTGAAGGCCAGACTTGCTGGACCCAGCAGACAGTGCCCTTGAGTTCATTGTGTAATGACTGACAGCTGGTCTATTCAGAACAGTCCTTAGAGGATAAATCATTGGGATTAAAACATTACCGCACATTCCTACAAATAAAACCAAAGAGAAGAGAGGTCTTGTAATGTGTCTCCAGCCCATCCGCGTGCCAGTGTGAGATTATGTCCTTTCTGGACATTGACCATCACAACCAGCTGGTCTTTCCAAGTCCTGTCTTCTCCAGAAGGAACACAACTCCTGATCTCAAACATGTCAAAGGACCCATCAGATCCCATGTGGAGGACTGGAGGGCATTTAGGCTCTCAAACACATTTAAAAAAATCAACTGCTCGTTTGAAGTAAGTATCTGAACACAGTCTTGGGTGGTTATAACTGGGATGGGGAGGGACCGCATTCACCTGGCTAAGGTGACAGGAAAACGCAGTGTCTCCTGGAACCTGGTGTGCCTACACTATCTTTGCATGGCAAACATGAGCTCATCTAACTGAGCTAACAGCCCAGACCTCCAAGAACAGCTTATCATTAAGTATGCTCAGCAAACCCCAATTCCACCACCATCCCAGAGCTGCTCCGAGCTCGTCAGCTTGGCTTTGAACCCCTCAGTGGCCAAGCCAATTCGCGTCAGTCTGCAAAACCCCACGAGGACACAGCTCTGACAGAGGCAATAAAACCATTTTCTGTCCCAGCCCTCCAGCTCCTTGAAGATGTGTGGGATCTGACCCACCACACACACATTCCCAAACCTCTGTTCAAGCAGACTATTGCAATTGTGCCTAGACACACAGCTTTTTGTGGTCTCCCGCTTTCTGCACCAGGCAATGACCGGCCACAATCCACCTTCCCATCCAACACATAAGCCACAGAAACTCTCCCAAGACGTTACACGCTGCTAGCGCTTCAGACTTTCTAGCAGAGCATTATTCCCTGCAGCCTCAAAGGCGGAGACGTTCCAAATCTCTTAATTTAATGCAGAGACGTTATGAGCAATAGGCCATTAAATGGAAATTGATGTGAACATACGCGTTACATCTTCCTTTGATGCCTACGGATAAAATAAATGAACTTGGACAAAAGATACTCAACAGGCAATTGGGAATGAGCTACGTCTTTGCATGGCTTTGTGCTTGATGAGTAGAGGAGCTCGTTTCTGCAGGCGTCAGATTACAAAACCATCCCACTTAAATTAAGGCAGTTATTTGCCTCTTGCTTCTCAGACGTGAATGCGGTCAGGAGGCTGGAATTATTTCAGACCAATAAACATATCAAAAAAAAAAAATTTCAGACTTTCCCAGCCAATATTTATGCCAATATTCAAAGCAGTATCTAGGAAGACTTGCTGAAGCCAGAGGGGCAGTGTACATCTATTCTCAGTTTCCGTCTCCAGCAGAGAATGAGAAGCCTTCGGGTATGTGCGGTTCCAAGTGATTTAGCACATGGACTCTCTTTTTTTACTACTGCAAATCTGTAATGGCCTTTCAAAGTACAGTATGCACTGTACATGTAAAATACACGCATGGCACACACTGTGCTACAATTTGTAGGTTCAGAATTAATCAGAATATACCCCACAAGGAGACTACTTAGCCTCAAGAGTTTGTAAACCTCACCCTAGACACCTGAATTGTGGTGATCAGGTTACTCCCTCATTTTTCTCCCCAGCTTAGACTTTTTGCAATACTGGCAATTGACTTTTAAAAGTGGCAGAAGAGTCCAGGACAGACATGTCCTGGCAGAAGCTTGGACGTGCTTCGCTAAACCAAACCGAAATACTATCCCATCCTGACAGGACAGTCACCACCCTGCAGTTTAGAGGAAGGATGGATACTTTATACATGAAAAAAAAATATTTTCCTTCCAGCAATTTGTACTGAGAACAATTTTCTTTTATCCAGCTGCCTTTGAGGCCTCTGCAAGAGGAAGGATTCCAGCCTCTCATCCCTGCTGAAAACCATCTGACTGAGCCATCTTAAAAGGTCAGGATGTCTTCAGAACTATTACGTCCTTTTTACTCTGGCCTCATTAACAAGGAGTTTGTATTGACCTTGGCGCCCATCCACCGCCATGACTGCTGCTATAAAGCCCAAACACACAGTGGAAGTGTCGGTTATAAAGCTGTTATAGGGTTAAGGTAATTCTGTATTTGACCAACTTTGTCAGGAATATATGCACCACTCACTCATTTCCCATTAACACTGAATCCCTGTGCTAGCTTTCAATTAATTATACACACCCAGCAGCAAAACCGTTTCTTTCTTCATCTCTTCAATCCACTTTACCTTTCTCCCGTATGTATATAAGTCTTTTGATCTCCAGATAAGTCATGGGACTCGCTGTGTTATTGCTTTCTAATTAACAGCCTCCACCGATTAAAGTTCATCCTGGAGCAGATAAATTTGTCCCTTTCCTGGAATGCATTAGCTCTTTTTGCCACTTTAAATACATCAGATACAGAGCTGGGAGAAAAGAATTTCACAAGACAACATTTGGAGGTGGATGGGCAAGAACAAGCTCTACCTACTCATCCGTAAACTAGCACCACGTGTCGCCTGTGATGCTCCACACCAGCACCAAAGGAAAAGAGAGAAGATTTTCTACAGTAGTAAAGACAAACCATCCTCTTAAATTAATCCAAATGAGAAGTGTCCTACGCAGGACAAAGGATTAAAGTAAAATTCATGTCCAGAATACATGCAGCATTTCCAAGTAATATTGGGTAAACAGGAGCACATGAAAGGCTGATTATAGCCTTTCCAAGTAGCACCATCTTGTATTCAGCAGCTTTCTTCACAGCATATAAGGCCCTTTCATTTACCCTCGATCACCCATAAAAACCACTAGAAAAGCACACTGAGCAAAGGCAAACAGAAAAGCGTAACCACGTGGCGAGCGTCAACAGCAGGCGGCCAGTGGACACTCCGCAGCGGCCGCCCTCTCAGATCCTCCAAGCCAACCAAAACACTTTTGGCTTTCTCGTGCTTTGTGTTTACTTGCTGGAAACTCATCAAGTCACCTCTTTGCTGGCAGGACCTTGCCTGCGGGATAACACAGGAGCTCGCGGGCAAAGAGGGATACAAAGCACCGGTTCTTAGAAAGGCGTGCGATTCCTGACAAAAGTGGGATGGGAACGCTTGTGGGGACCAGCTGATGGACAGTTGTCCTTCCTCACTGTCTTCTGCCCTCCCTTCTCTTTTCCTTCTCCCTACAGTCACAAAAGGCAGGATTTTTCCATTTGCAGCACTCATCGCAGCACAGCTGCCAAACAATTTTATATTACATGTAGTGTATTATTTCTTTTACCCTTTTAAACACGGTCCTAACAAATCGTTCATCATTTAATCTGCCAGCAGGAGCTCACAGTTGAAGTCAGGCTAGTTGCAGTCATAACTATATTTGCACATTGGGAAAAGGCACCAGAAAAGAAAAAAAAACATATTTGCCTACATCATTTTGGAGCCCCGCAATATTTTGATGGCATGTCAAAAATAGCCCAAAGTAGGGTCTCTGGCATTAGGTGAAAAAAAAACCCTATTCATCTGAATTGTTGATGGTAAAGGCGTATTTCATACTTATCCTTTCAAGTTCTCCCTCTGAAGTGGGAGAATACATCGACCAAACTTTTATTTTGGTTTCTTGAACTACGAAAAGCCAATAGCACTGACCCATCCACCCGTGAACTCCCAAAGTCTTTCCAGCTAATTCCAGGGGCTGAGCTTCTGTGCCAGATGGAGCCACACTCCCTGAGCCCTGTTTCCTAAGGCCCTGAGCAGATTCCTAGGAGCATCATGGATGCTTGGCTCATGGGGATAAGCTCTGGTGACCAGTGTATGACAAAAGGGCAGATGGTACCTCCAGAGTTGAGTGATAGCTGATGGCAACCCAAAGACCACCAGAAGTTTGTCAGAGCAGGCTATGGTGCCCCAAAACACCAGTCACAATGGTCTGAAAGCTTTCACAAGGAGAACATGGGTTAAACACTAGGGAAAATTTGATGCTTTTATGACATTAAGGTAATGGAAGAACCTGCTGAGGCAGGCTGTGGAATTGCCATCACTGGAGATGCATCCAGGGTTGGGCCAGACGCTGGCTTATGAATAATGGAACCAGTCCTGAAACTATGCAGTGGATGGACTCGATGACCCGTTAGCATCCCTTTCCAACCAAAACAGTCCAATGACCTAAAGCATCGCTCACTCTGGAATGAAACAGCTTCAGGAAACCTCTTGAGAAAAACTTAGAGGAAATTTGCTACACTTCTTGCACCATAAGGAAAATTAAAATAAAATAGAAAAAAACCAAAGGTAATAATAAAGTTAGGTATCAGGAGCTGGACTCACCATGTATTCCATATTAGAAGCTGCTGGGTACACTTGACCTCTCAGTTTATTGTGGAGCATCAATATTTCTTGTCTGTCTGAGAATAAAATGGCTCTCTTGGATCTGGAGTGAGTTTCCCCATCCTGATATTTACTCAAAATGCTCTCCAGGTGACTCGAGTTGGGCAAGATAAAGCATTCGCCTGCCTGTGCCAGGAGCAGTACACATCCAAGGGGAAGGACCCAGGGCAGGGCAGGACTCATTCCTCCTCCTCTACAGCCAGCAGAAGCGGAGATGAAGTTGGTGGTCGGTTTTCTTGCTGGGACTCGTGTGGCTCAGCACTGGTCTGGACTTTGGGGAGAAAGAGGCGGTCAGAGCAGTGCCGGAGAACCCCCCATGCATACGACCTCCACTAAGGAAGCCACACAACCCAGATTTTTGCTTGAAAAAGAGTGATGCATGCAGTCTAAGCAATTACCCTTCACCCCAATGACCCAATCACCACCCTAAGTGATGGGAACTGAGTTTATTACACCAGGGAACTCCACTAAGGTTGCACTGGGGGAGAGCACTGGTCAGGCAGCATCCAGGCGTGGCGGAGGATGCCTTCTCCACCAAAGATGCCAGGGGTGCAGGTATCACCCAGCAATGCCCAGCAGCTCTGAATAATCCCAGCTCCATCCCTTCCCAGGTGGGAAGGGGAGACATTTGAAGGTGTTCGCCCAAAGAGCAGCCGTTAAAGTGGAGGATGGGTATGAATAAAAGGGAAAGTAAAATTCCCAGCAAGGCGGATCGCAGAGGTCAGACATCAGCGAGAGCTATTTCAGAGGCCTCGCTCTGCCAATAGACTCCAGCAGAGCAGCTGCCAGACTCCGTGAGAACGGCTGTTTATGTGAAATGTCACCGTAACGCCGAACAACCCAAATCCCTGCTGGCGAATGACGCACCGGGGTGTTCTCGCTGCCGCTGACGCATCGCGTTACGGCGGGCGGGAGCGCGGCCAGCGATGTGAGTTACGGCCGATGGGGAGAGGAGCCGGAGCACCCGTCCTCCCCCAGCCAGAAGATTAGGTGTTCCCACGCACGCTCGGTACTGTCAGCACCAAAGGCTCGGAGGGATGGTCTCCATTTGGTCATTGGCGGGTGTGAATGGCTTCGTTTCATCCCCATCCTGTCCCTTGCTCCATGATGCTCCCGCTCCACCTGCTATTTCCAAACTCTTCCCTTCCCCTCGCCCCGCCTCCACTTCTCCGTCTAACGAGCCTCGTGCGTCTCGGATGGTTTTATTTAGATCATGAGCTATTCAGGGAAGGAAATCTGTGCTGGTGCGTGGCTCTGCAGCACCCAGTGCTCTTTAGGTGGGATCTAAGAGCCTCTAGAGCAGAATTAATCCATCAGGGCAACAAGCATCCGTACAGATGGTATAAGCACAGCATCTCTCTCCTTAGGGTTAAATTTTGGAAGAAAGCTTCCCCATCCCCACCTTCAACGCTAGGTGAGGATCTGGGTTTGACAGCGCTGCTAAAAAAGACGCTGAAAGCATTCCTACGCAGCGTCAGGAG